TCTCTCTCTCTCTCTCTCTCTCTGTGTGTGTGTGTGTGTGTGTGTGTGTGTGTGTGTGTGTGTCTGTGTATGTGTGTGTGTGTCTGCGTGTGCCAGACGGACAAGCAAAGACACGAAGGCAAGGATGTACGCAACCATACAAGTGAAGCTCTTTTCCCCATCTTCAAGTTCGGCATTTAATCTCCTTCTTCCCTCCACTCGCCATAAGGATAATGATTGGATTCTCACCATCAGATACTGAATCCTCACTTCAGGATCAGAGAGAAGGACGATGCCAGATTAACGAAACCTAAAGAATCTCTACTACATCCTGGTGTATAACTCTGAAAACCCTAATAACCTATCGGTGTAGAAAAAATTACCCCCAAAATCAGAAAACCCACACAACGAACTTCCATGTCGATCAACCACGTTCTCTCTCTCTCTCTCTCTCTCTCTCTCTCTCTCTCTCTCTCTCTCTCTCTCTCTGTGTGTGTGTGTGTGTGTGTGTGTGAGCATGCGCACGCGTACTTACACCCAGGTGAAACCGTAAACACTCTAGAAAACAAACAGCAACCACCAAGCAGAGGCACAAACAAACACATCCGACCACATGCAAACAAACGCTCGATATAAACAACAAGAAAGGAAGAGGCTAACGACCGCTCCGCCCGTGACCTGCGGATACGATTGACAATCAATCATGCTGTGCTGGTGAGATGACTGACTTACTGTTGGCCATGCTGTCCAAGCTCGAGCTTCCCCACCAGTCGAGCTGTGTGACCAAGACAGACACTGCACCTGCTCCTGTTTCGCTCACACCTCGGGACAAAAACGCCGCTCTAGCCACACAGATAGATACTCGACGATCAACCCCACCTGGGTTTCGCGTTCCCACCTGTATCGATCTCCGATTTCGTCGACTTCGCGGTTTCTGCGCTCTCCGGCAGCTTCAAGCGAACCGACTGCGCAGCGAGGGAACATCGGATCGTACGAGCCTCGCCGCACTGTTCACCAAAATCGGAAATGGTAGGTGAGCGCGGCGAGGACTCGAAAACTCGCCAAGACTATGGGTCTCGCCGCGCCTCCTCAGTGTCCTCACCGACGCTCTCGTTGCGTGGGACTGTGTCCCGACTGGTCGATTAAAGACAAAACAAAGAAGGGAAAAGTCTGCCCAGACCAAGAGCGTGGTCCCACTACCGGTAGCACTGGATCCAGTGTGACCCGGTCCTCGCAGCACTGCTCACCACCGCAGTGAGGCCTCAAAACTTTTGGTGAGTGCTCACCACCGCAGTGAGGCGTCAAAACCTTTGCTCACCAGCGCAGTGAGGCCTAAAAACCTCGCCAAACCCAGGCCTCGCCGCACCGCCTCACCAAACTTCTGTTTTGAAGGAACCGGGTTTCAACAGGCCCACTAAAGTAAAGTTTGACTTACCGCGCGGGTGCGCAGCCCGCTAGTGATGAACAAGGTTTCATCGTCCAGGTTCAAAAGCAGGATGGAGAGAGAGAGAGAGAGAGAGAGAGAGAGATTTTTCTTCTTTTTTTTTTTATAACTCTTCTTTTTTTGTTTTTTGTTTTTTTAATAAAAAGGGAGACGGCCTTGAGATATATCATTGAGCTGACCGGCCCCAAGCAATTCGTTTGTAGTTGGTTTCACTCCTCAAGTTCCATCATCTGGATTCGAACATGGGTCTGTAGGCTCTTGGGTTTTTTTAACTCTTCTATATTCTTCTCTCAATCTTGTTTGTATATATTTTCCTCATCTATCTCATCCTCTCGCTACTCTATGTGTAGTACGGGGGAACACCAACCAACCAAACCTGGAACTCTCCCCAGCCCACAGGGTAGGTTGGCACCACACTATGTATAGTACGGGGGAACACCAACCAAACCTGGAACCCTCCCCAGCCCACGGGGTAGGTTGGCACCACAGCAGCGGTGCGAGAGCAAGGCTTGTATCAGCCCCTCATCACGATGGTGGGGGGTGATCAGGCATTGCCAGCGGGGGAAACCGGCTATGCTAGTGCCGAGCATCTTTGTTCAGTCACGCGCACCTCCCCCTACCCCCCTCCACCCCCACATTACCGGTGTCTAATGGCCAATATCATTGCTGCATAGCAACCAACAATATTGGATTGACTTACCGTGAGGGCACAGGTGCACAGCCCGTAGTTTGTATATGCTTGATTGATAAAGGAGGCGTTATCGGTGAGGTTTAGAAGTATGCACTTGCAAATGCAATGCAGGTGTGTTGTTTCAACCTGCGCCCAAGGCTGCACCCTTTTCGATTTCAGACTTTTCCACTTTTCCACCTTGTCGCTGCTTTGCCACCGTTTCTACCAAAACCTAGTGCACGATCCCACGAGCAGCTACCGGTCCCGCATTTTTCAAAGAAACTGCCACCACCCCCCAAAGTTTCACCATATCGTTGCTTTGCCACTGTTTAAACCAAAACCCAACGCGCGGTCCCACACGCAGCTACCGGTCCCGCATTTTTCAAAGAAACTGCCACCACCCCCCAAAGATCCACCCTGCTGCTGCTTTGCAACCGTTTCGACCAAAACCCAACGCGCGGTCCCTGTCTCTTATACACATCTAGATGTGTATAAGAGACAGTCCCACGAGCAGCTACCGGTCCCGCATTTTTCAAAGAAACTGCCACCACCCCCCAAAGTTTCACCATATCGTTGCTTTGCCACTGTTTAAACCAAAACCCAACGCGCGGTCCCACACGCAGCTACCGGTCCCGCATTTTTCAAAGAAACTGCCACCACCCCCCAGAGTGTCGTGCATGCACCTGCCTGCATTTTTCGAACCTTCCAACGACCAAACGATGTCGAGCGCACGGTCCCCGCAACTAAAAGAGGACCTTCCCGGCCGCGTCACGCAGGATTCGTCAGGACTTTACTCGTAGAGCGTTGCCGCTCCGGCCAAGTGCGTCATCCATACCTCTCGCGAACCCCTACGACAGGATAGGGTCACGCGAGGTACAACTTACCTCCACCTGCGGGATCTGTCACCATCCCTTAGGTGGGCATATCCTTGTCGAGCTACCAGTCCACAATACGAAAGTTTTCACATGCAATCACAGAGGTGGACCAGTCGAGGGTGTTTTTCTCGTACACTGTAGCATAGGGGGACGCGTGGTTTCACGCCTCTATCGGACCTGTACGCAAGCCAACGCACTGGGGGCTGAAGTCCCAAGCGCAACTCGTCGTCGGTCGACTGGGATGCATCCTTCTTACCACGTGTTATATCATGCCAAAACAAAAAGTCAGATCACTCACATGAAACAAAACACTCATAGTCCCTTCAGTATCCAAACCATAACTTTCAGATACGAAAATCGGTTAGGCATCTCGCACGTGTCTTAATATAAAATCGGACGGATGTAAGACTTTCTCATATCGACTAGTCATGCAAGCAGTCTGAATGATGGTGTACTATGTAGTACCCATAATCGCGCGGTCCTCAATGGTCTCAAGAGTCGCGTTCGCCACTCAAGTGTCGGTTGACACGTGCCTTGAGGGGTTAATCTTTCAATGCTAGACAACCGCCAAGGCGGTTGAGAGCCATACCCTCTTCTGCACCCTGCGGAGAGTGGGTGGTACACAGGTTCCGACCTGTGGTGATGGTCAACCCTTATGGTCATGGAGTCAAGCTCAATCATTCAGGGTCTAGAGAGAAGTCAAGGGGTTTAACTTTAACGATTGTCACGGTTTTCAACGTCCAACTATGAAAAATTAACAAGCAAGATCAGCCAGTAAATAAATAAATGTCTCAATACCCATATATCAAATCAGAACTCAAGATAAGAAAAAGAGGAAAGGTAAACCCATCAGGTATGCAGATCGTGCGATACATGGTGATCATTCTCATTGCCCCCAAAGTAACATTCATATACCAAGCTCAAAAATAATAATCTGCATAAAACACAGATACATACGAAAGTCGCATTGTCATGCACCAATGTGGTCAACTTTATTGTTTTTCTGTAACTCACACCACGCCTCACACGTGCATGCCCCAACCATTGTCCAACTTTCCATAAAAACTCATCAGTTCTTTATAATGATCATTCAAAAAGGTTTGGTTAAACCCTTTAAAGAAACATATCAAATCTCAGGGCTAAGGCATCAAGCTGAGGTACAGGTGTAAGCAAAGTTGTATCGTGAGCCGATGAATCGGCAATCAACCAACCGACCTGTTATAAAAAAATAACAGAAGACGATCCTCGTCGGATCGAGCTTGACTAGTCAGATCTTGAATAAGAAACGACAAAAAAAAACATGTTACACAACACAGGTCAAACCCCAAATACTTGAACGTTAAGTGTACGGAGAATAAATCCCCATATCACATCTTACTCAAAATCTCGTAAGGCTCAATCTTAAATCTATCTCTCAAATGAACCTCAGCGAATAACAAAAATTTTAGTAGCATCTCCCCTATATAGGGTGGACTGCCAAAAATTATCCTACCAGAATATAATAGAACTCTTGAAATTTAAGAAAATTCCGGCAGAGCTTCCCGTAGGAAAAGTGTCTTTTCAGAATTTATACAAGACTGAATATAAACTCATAAATAATTATGACTTCACAAAGTTAAATTTTGTCGAACTCCCTGATTTAGTAAAAATTTGGGCAGCACCTCCCCTAGAAAAGTAGGTTTCCCAGATTTTAACTAAGCCACATATAAAACTCGGACAAAAGTTGAACTTTAAAAGTCAAAATTTGACTAACTTCTTGGTTTTGTATAAATTTCGGCAGCGCTTCCCGTAGGAAAAGTAACTTTTCAAAATTTATACAGAGCCACGTAAAATAAATGATCCCAGAAAATGTGTGGACTAAAATAAACTTAACTTATAAAAATGACTTAACTCAGAAAAATGCAGGAATTGAACTAACTCTTATAGCTTCAAAATGACTTAACTCATAAAAATGTAGGAATTGAACTAACTCTTATAGCTTCAGCACGTGGTGAGCACTAACATACTACCCTACTATGCAGGAAACATGCAGAGTCTGAACAAAAGATAAGTTTTTGTCGGCAAGCATGTCATGTCCATAACGCATTCAACCAATTCAAAACAAGGGTTCGTTTATCAAAAGTTTTTATTTTTCGCTTATCCTGATCACAAAAACATTAGTCTTGTATCTTACTTAGTTGATTAACTTTCTAAGTTGTTCTTAAGAAACCCCCATGCAATCCTTAACACATTAGTCTGGACTGACTTAGCAAAGCGACCGGATCAGTCAGGAGGACCTGATCTCCAGCTCCATCTCAATGTTTTATACAAACGAGCAAAACGACCAGATCAGTCAGAAGGACCTCATCTACAACCTCATTTCAATCTCTTAGGCAAATGAGCAAAGCGACTGGATCAGTCAAGAGGACCTCATCTCCGGCCTCATTTCAATGTCTTAGGCAAACGAGCAAAGCGACCGGATCATTCAGGAGAACCTCATATCCAACCCCATTTCAAATCATCGCAAACAAACATCGTGAATTTCATTTCAGACAGATAAATTTAGACAAACATAGTAAATTATCTCTGATTCAGTTAAAGTCATGAATTAACTCAAGGAAATATACAAAAAGGTAAACTCAATCAAACTAAATGAAGGGTGTTATAGATAGGGGTATACGGGATCCTAAAGGAAGTGGTGTCGGCCTAACTCGTAGTTCCATGCCTCTAGGGTTTCGCTTGAATCCTGACAGAGCTCCCACAATCGGTGGGGCGAACCTCACACAGAGGTCTTGGCACGGATTACAAACGTCAATCCCGCCTGCCGTCTTCCTCTCTGAACCAAACGACTAGACTGAGAGGAAAAAGGGCAGACAAAGAGAAGTTAATTCACTCAGATACAAGAAAGGTGCACTCAGACTCGCATGAGAGGGCCTCGATACCTTGACGTGCCTGATGGCCCCGCAATGTTGGCCAAAGTCGCAGCAAAACGGTCAATCTCGA